GCGCCCCTGGCCCGTTTCCTAGGCGACCCTGCCCGAGCAAGAAGCGGCAGAGAATCCAGAGGCTCTCACGCCGGCGCCCTCAAAGCCAAACGTGGGCGTGGCCAGGTTTGGGTGGGGGCGTGGCCAGGTTTGGGTGGGGGCGTGGCCAGGGGAGGGAGGTGAGTTCCACCACCTTTTCTCTGAGAAAAAAAGCCCTGGGAAGATGACATACTTCTTTCCATATTAAGTGTGAAGACTTTCCCTAAAATGGTATTAAAGTTAATTGTTCCTTAATTCAGCCAACTCAAAGTTGGAAAGTGGGCCTATAGTTCTTGTCCCAACAGAGGGTATCAGTGTTAAATATCATCTTCAGTTATAGCAGATGATGAAGATTGTACTTGTGCCCTTGATTTTTTTTTAAAAAAATATATGTAATTAAAATGTGCAAGTGTGTATTATTAATCCACTCATTTCTTTTCATGTGAACAGTTGTGATATTTTGGTTAATTTAAATACATACTTCATGTTTGTATTTTATTGCTTGCTGGAAGGAAAGAGGACTACCATTTTTTTAATATTATTCCAGCTATGGAAGAAACTGTGATTCTTTGCCTATTCTTTCCTTGCCTCTCATTTGTTGATATGAGATAAAATAGAGCAGCCCAATGTAGGTCATCCTGAGCTACCTAGACGAATAGCAAGATGAAATCTAATAAAAATCAAGACTTATGTCTTAAGAAAAAACATTTTGGCTAGAATTGTTAGGCTAGCCTTTGTGCATAGTTCATGGTTGCTGATGTTAATCCTTTATTTATTAAAAGGCAGAAGAAGACAAAAAGAATTTGGCAAGAATGCAGGAGCTAATTGATAAATTGCAACTCAAAGTAAAAAGCTACAAGCACCAAGCAGAAGAAGCTGTAAGTTGTATAGTGTCATTATTGTACATTTATAATTTTTTGTTTTTCTCCTAGATGTTATTAGATAGCACTTTTCTATCTTTTTATGGTATTTCCAAAAATCCTGGTGTTTTCCTAGATTGTCTTATGTTGTCCTCTTTTGTGTCAATGAGGCCATTTTGGCTAAAGAAATGCCCAAACATCAGAAACACAGGAAATTACACTCAGAATGTGTACCATTGTATACAAATACAATTTCATCCTTTAGAATTGAAAATGTATGATACATTATGAGATGGAATCATTTATCTTAGCATGATAAAAGATGCCATTTTGTCGTAAAAGAGTTCGCTCTATTTTCTGTTTATATCTCAGTAGAGATTGATAGATCTTGCTTATTACCCTGCAGAACAGAAAGAAAGCAATATGTGTGTTTACTGAAAGCTGCAATCCCATAGGGCATGAAGCAGTTGCATACACAACTTACACACAAGATTTTCTCAAAAGTAGATCAGTCTTCTTACAGCAGTGCAATCTGTAGGTTAAATTATTAAATTAAATTATGTTCCTTCCTTAAAATCTGGGTGTTATTTTTGTTGGGTCACAAATCGACTTATGTGTGTGCACTTACACAAAGAAAGATATTACAATTTCTAACATTGCTTCCCTGTTTTGTGGATGCTGCTCAGTTCAAAGGAACAGCTTTGGAAAATAAAGATGAAAGGAATTCCTCCCTTGAAAACTTCACACTGAACATGAAACTGTCCATCAAAAATTATATTTTGCAATCATAGGTCACAATAAATGTAAAGCAGAATAAATGGGTAAAAGGAAAATAGTGTAAAATGTAAATGATAAAGTAAATGAAGAATCCATTTTCATTAATACAAATTAATACAAGCATAACATAAAATATAGTTTTGTAATAGACTTGAAAAAGGTTATATTAGTTTTCATTAGATTAGAGTCTGATAAATATTTAAATGTAATTTAAATATAATAAGGCAACACACAAATAGGGCAAATTCAAAATCTATTTTTAGCCATTACAAGAGTGAAGTATTAAACTTTTAAAATAAATCTAGTCTGTTTATGACATGCTTGATCAGCATTCCATTCTGTACTTTAATGATGATAATTTTGACTTTATAGTTGAAAAAGTAATAATTCCCTGTATATTTATAAAATCTTAATTCTGCTTGCTGACTTGTGCTAATTCCATACTTTGATATCTGTTGTTTAATTATTCAGCTCAGAAATCTTGATTTAATCATAGTTTATTAAATAGACCACATATACTTGGGTTTATGCAGCATCCTAGGCTATAAAGGAGAAATGTACAACCAAAACCATATGCAGCCCCCAAATGATACTCAGGTATATCAAAATAGAAATAGAAATTATCAAAATATATTTTTAAAGGAGGAAAAGCTTTCATTTATCATTCAGTGATATTTATAAGAGGTTAAAAAAGAAAAACTGACAGAGGTTCAATCATGCAATTGTGATTGCCATTGTGACTTATTTTTGTTCTCCCTATAAAGAACATTGATATGACTGAAAACAATTTTTAAAAAAATTCTAATTAAATTTAAATGCAGATGAAATAATGTCAAATCTGGGGTTTATCCTATTAAGAACCATTATTCCTATAAAAAAATCCCTCCAAAAAGCCTCTTTTATAAACCACAATGGTTAGATTTACTCATTATGCTAAGCCAAAACCAAGCAAACCAATTGTGAAATGTAACTCAGTGTATCTGTCTGTTATTCTTAAATTATCCTGGACAGATTCATTACAATTGTTGAAAATCCTCTGTGTTTAGAACATTTGTTATTTTTTCCTGTCTGTAAAAACTGTTGAATTTTGCTAGGCCAACTCTTCCCCAACTGAAGGCTTGAAATCAATATTCCTGACTTCCAAAGATCCTTCCTTGGTAACTTCATAGATTAGTATAAATGAAATTGCTTTCCAGCACAATATCATTAAATATTTAACAATGAATTACAGTAGCCTTTTTCCAGCTTAGTGCCTTTTTAAGGGTGTTGGATTACAATTCCCATAACCTCCTGGCCAGTAAATGTAATAGAACTTTCAGTTCAATATATCTGAAAGGCAGTTTGCTATGTATAAATTTGATTTGTCTTGTCTGTGTGTTTCAGAGGACCTTTGCTTCTTGATTGTCAAAGTCAAATATTGTTATATCCTTATATATTTTCCCCCAACAGGAAACTCAAGCCAATCAATACCTTGCAAAATATAGGAAACAGCAGCATGAGCTGGATGATGCTGAAGAACGAGCTGAGATTGCTGAATCCCAGGTTAATAAGCTCAGGACAAAGTCAAGAGACATTGGCATGAAAAAGGTATGAAGTGGAAGAAAATGATTCTGCTAGAATCTCTAAAAGAACAACAAGGGAGAGGAACAAGGGTAGGCAGTGCATCTAAGGGAATACAAGTTTCCCTTAGGGTGCCGTTGGCCAGTCAATGCCGGCTGGCAACCCCCAGGGGAAAAGCCTTCTCTGTGGCAGCTCCTGCCCTCTGGAATGACCTACCCCCCGACCTACGTACAACTGCGGACCTGCGCCTTTTTCGCCGAGCCCTGAAAACCCATCTATTTTGTGCGGCCGGCCTGGCGTAGTCTTAATTAGGTTTTAGTATAGGTTTTTATATGGGGTATTTTAGAGCAGGCCTTTATTTTTTTAATTTGATTTTAGAATAGATATTTATTGTGATTTTTATTATTGCCTGTTCACTGCCCTGAGTCCCGTAAGGGAGATAGGGCGGTATACAAATCTAAATAAACATAAACATAAACAAACATAAACATAAACATCTAGAATCTGTCACTGAAATTAACTTTTTCCAAGGTGAAAGTCCTGATTCTCCTTTGCCCGTCCCCTTTAGAGAAGAAGGCCATTCCTGCCAGATTCATTCCTGTCAGATGGGATGAAACTTGAGATTCAAAAATGGAACATTGGGCTGCTAAATTAGACTTTTCCATCTAGGCGTCTTGGGTTAAAAATCTGCATCATTTCTTATTTTTCAACCAGCCTACAGTATTCCCATAATGCATCTGCAACACATCGTGTTGGAGAAGACTATGCTAGGCTGGAGTAACAACCCACTCTTTCTGCACTTGCTGAGATAAAAGCATTATATATTATATGAGTATCATTTGAAATAAAGTGCTGTTGAGCACAGAAACCGAAACGTACTATTTCACTCTGGACTACTAGTATTTAAAAAGATACCCACTATGTATTAATCAGCCATGCTTTGCCCATGTAACTGTATTTTTAAAATGACTGTAATTAATATTATAATTAATAACTAAAGGTACAATCTAGGACTATTAAAAACAATTTGGGAGTTGACAAAGGATTTTTTAAATTCAAATTTGTGCCACAAAACAGCTTTAAAAGTGGTTGTTAATAGTGTAGCTAATTTTAATACTGTGGGCAATTAAATTTCATGTTATCTTGTTTTATCATGTTATTTTCTCTGATGGTGGTGGATAGTGACAAAAAGAAATTATTCACTGACTTTACCCAATGAAAGCTCCAAAAGGAGGAGTGGCCTCTAGTGGCAAATTGCATAATCATTAGTTGTTGTCATGGTCACCATTCTGAGGGCTCCCCAGAGGGCCAGAGGAGAACATAAGAATGCCTACAGCTGTATAAAAAACAAAAGCTCACAACCTCACACACTATCTATAATAGACATGGCAAACCCACTGCAGACTTACCATCTCTGCAGGTTATACAAGTGCCTACATCTCCTGTTGCTTTCTTTTTTATGCAGTTACAAATATTACAATAAAATCAGTTTGGTGACATAATATGGGAAGAATGTGCAAAATCTAGTAATTTTTGGAAACTTGGAGGCAGTTAACCTTTTTCCAACTCAGAATGTAAAAAAAAACTATATGCAGAATATTTAACCTCTCCACCTGTCTTTCCCTTGCTATCTCGCCACATTCCCCCAAAAT